TAGCGCGCGCATTCGCAGAAGTCCCCCGAGAGTGTTCGCGGGCTTGAGGAGCCCAAGTAACACATGGGCGCTCAATTAAACTGCTGAGGGTGGGCAGAAAATCTGGTGTGCACGAGCATTGTGAGCGGGTGCGCGGCTTGCACGGGGGGCGCAGTAGGTTTGCGTTTCAGGGACTTGGGCGCTGGCCAATGCGCTGATGGGGGGCCCGAGAATGCGTCACACATATTACGCCTGCGGCGCCATGGAGGCCGCATTTGCGGTTGCAGTTGGGCGGGCGCCCCGCCGCGCGCACCGTGGCGACAGCTCTCTTGGGCGCCCGCCCGCCGCCGTGGACGTAGTGGACCCAGCTAGTCTCTCGGTCGGCGCGCGGCGGGTCGGCAGCCGCGACGCTGGCGGCCTGAAAATGCTTCGAAAGTGTTTCTCCCCGAGCCCGGGGCTATTGTACGTTTTCGGTGGCACGCGCAGCTCGGAGAAAAATCGCCTTGTCCGTCGGCGGCCAGTTGGCTGTCGTCGCGCAGAAGTACCGGCGGATGGCGCGGTCCACGCTCAGCGCAGAGAGCGTGTCCATGAGCGTGGACTCGTCGAGGGGCAGGAGGAAGGACCTCGCGGTCGGGACCATCGCGGCCCGCGATGTCCACGGCCCCCACCCTGGGCGCGCGAGGACCTGCTGGGCGCCGCCGCAGCGCGATTTCAGAGGATCTCGGAACCAGAAATCCGGGCGCGCCAAATTTCGCGGGCCGAAAAACTTTCAGAGAGTTTCGGCCAGCTCCGAGGTTTTGGGTTTATGGGAATGTTTCACGCGGGGTGGCTAGTTCAGAGATTTTCAGAGATTCTCAGAGAAGTTCGGACGCGAGAATTTGGCGCGCCCCGGTTTCTGGTTCTGTGAATCTCTGAAAAGCGGTTCCTCAGGGTTCACCGGGTCTCCAGGCGTCCTACTGTCAGCCAGAGACGAGCGACTGGCTGGCGCCGCGCCCGATGCTTCCGCAACTCGGTCTTCGATTCCCTGGGGCCCGCGGGCCCCTGGGCCAATTGCGAGGCTGCCGAGGCCCCCAGGCGGTTGCGCGCGATTGTCTCGGAAACCGGAGTTGGGCATCCATAGTGGACGCCCGCGCGCACGCGCTAGGTGTCCGCGAGATTGTTCGGTGGCGGATCTTGCATGGCGCGGGGATTTTCCAAAGATTTTGCGGGATGTTCTCTACGGTTATTTCGGCGCGCTTCGGGAACCTTGGGGCGGCGCGGGGAAGTCGCCTGGCCGCGCGCGTGACTTTTTTCCAATGCTGTCTTGGGCATTATCGCGGTGTTGTTTGGCCGAAGAGGTCACTGAGTAACACGATTTCTGACATTTTAGTATTTTTTCGTTGCGTTGGTTGCGTGATTGTTTTGGCGGTCCGCCTCCTTGGGGCCCCCTTTGGGCCTCAAGTTTGTTTTGTTGACGTCGGGCCTTCTGGAGTGAAAGGCGCTTGGCGCTGAATTCCCTCGGTCGTGCGCGTGGCCAAATACGCGCCGTGGCTTCATCCGCGCCAGGGCGCTTTTCTTCCCTCGCGAAGACGATGGCGCCCAAGGCGTGGCAGGCCCGTTCGGCGGCGCCCCCGGTGATTTGAAAAACCGAGCATGATTTTTTATCCCGATCAAATTTTGCCCCGATCCCGGCTTCATCTTAAAAGGCAGGCGTCTGCTCGCTCAGCCGCGAGGGCGCGGCATGGAGCAGGCTGCAGAGGTGGCTCGCGGCCTGCCGGGCGCGCCCTCAGGGCCCGCGCGGCGAGGTCGCCCGGGCGCGCGCAGGCGTCTTGGAGGGCCAGGCGGGCCAGCAGGAGACGGGCGGGCGGCGAGCAGGGATGCCCCCACGACAGCGGGGGCAGGCGGCGCGCGCGTCGCTTCCGCCCAGAAGGCCAATGTGACGAGCGCTGCTCCGCATGCGGCCGGGACCTCGCCCAGAGGCCCATGGTGAGGCAACGGGGCGACGAGGCGAGAGGCGCCTCGCCACGCATGCGCGCGGCGCCTTCCGGAACCCACGCAGGAGAAGTGGCCGCCGCTCCTCGCGCACCGACGGCGCTCTCGGTCAAAGCGCCGCCTTGGCGCCTTCACCAGGCGTTTGTGGTCCGGGCGCTGGCTCTGCCAGAGGGCAGCCTCGCCCCCGGCGTCATCTACGACGGGTAAGAGATCCAACCCATCGTCGGCCAGCTCGAGGCTCGAGCCAAGCAGGAAGCCGAGAGCCGGGGCGTCTGCACACGGGCACCCCGCAATGTTGCGGTGAACGCACCGTGCGTCGAGGTGAGTCAGCGGGAAGTCGGGTTGACCGCGCGTTTCAGGGACTCGGGCCGTTCTCTGGGGATGTCTTGGGCGCCAGGGGCCTCTGGGGCCCCGAAACCGTGGGGCGACGGATTGCACAGCGAGGTCTCTGGGGATTCTGATGTCACCGCACGGTCTGTCACCGCGCCGCCCCCTGCCATACGCCCACCAGATTTTTCAATCCGCGGTCCCAGATGGTCTTCCGCTCCCCTGGGGGGAGCCACTCGCCCCGGATCCGCGTTTGATGGTCCAGGGGCCGCTGTTGGATTGCGGAGGCCAAGATCGAGGAAAAACGGCCAGATTGGAAAAATGCGATCGTCGGAGATCTGGGACCCCAGACCGCCGACGTCGCGATTGGTTCATCACGTCGACCCCAAGAAGTCTCGACCCCTTCCCCGGAAACGGCGCTTCATCGCGAGCCGTTCTTTGACAGTCCCAGGGCCTGGCGACGGCCCCCGGAGGCCGATGTTTCCGGGACTCGCGGGGGCTCGGGTTTGGGCCCCCCCGTTATTTGCCGAGTTCCTCGGCCGACCGGGCGGCATGATGTGCGCGTTTTCAAGTCGGACGTGTCCCTGCACAGGAGGAACATTCACAAATAATCAAACATTACGCTAACGAGGAACCCCACATAGTTATATTATGACTGGAGTGGTGATGGCTGAAGTGAAGCATGTGAGAATGATGTTGGTGGCCATTCCTCGCGCACCCCCTATGGTGTCGAGAAGGTGCCACGCCTGCTACGCCCTGGACGACCGGCTCGGATAGCGGCCGCGCTCAGAGACCCCGATGATGTCGAGAAAGTGCCACGCCTACGATTCCCTGCGCCATGGCCCGCTTAGACGCCGCGCTCGGGGACCACCCCCTGCGCACCCCCTATGGTGTCGAGAAAGAGCCACGCCTGCTATGCCCTGCGTCATGGCCCGCATAGACGCCGTGCTCGGGGACCACTCCCTGCGCACCCCCGAATGGCGTCGAGAAAGCGCCACGCCTGCTATGCCCTGCGCCATGGCTTGCATAGACGCCGCGCTCGGGGACCACCCCCTGCGCCCCCCCTATGGTGTCCAGAAGGCGCCACGCCTGCTATGCCCCGCGTCATGGCTCGCATAGACGCCGCGCTCGGGGACCACCCCCCGCGCACCCCCTTATGGTGTCGAGAAAGTGCCACGCCTGCTATGCCCTGCGCCATGGCCCGCATAGACGCCGCGCTCGGGGACCACTCCCTGCGCACCCCCGAATGGCGTCGAGAAAGCGCCACGCCTGCTATGCCCTGCGCCAAGGCCCGCATAGACGCCGCGCTCGGGGACCACTCCCTGCGCACCCCCGAATGGCGTCGAGAAAGCGCCACGCCTGCCACGCCCTGCGCCATGGCCCGCATAGACGCCGCGCTCGGGGACCACCCCTTGCGCACCCCTAGTGTGTCGAGAAAACGCCACGCCTGCTATGCCTTGCGCCATGGCCCGCATAGACGCCGCACTCAAGGACCACCCCCTGCGCACCCCCTGTGGTGTCGAGAAAGTGCCACGCCTGCTATGCCCTGCGCCATGGCCCGCATAGACGCCGCGCTCGGGGACCACCCCCTGCGCACCCGCTATGGTGTCGAGAAAGTGCCACGCCTGCTATGCCCTTCGCCATGGCCCGCGTAGACGCCGCGCTCGGGGACCACCCCCTGCGCACCCCCTTCTGGTGCCGAGGAAATGCCGCGCTTGCTATGCCTTGCGCCATGGCTCGCACAGACGCCGCGCTCGGGGACCATCCCCTGCGCACCCCCGATGGTGTCGAGCAAGCGCCACGCCTGCTATGCCTTGCGCCATGGCCCGCATGGCCCGCATAGACGCCGCACTCAAGGACCACCCCCTGCGCACCCCCTGTGGTGTCGAGAAAGCGCCACGTCTGCTATGCCCTTCGCCATGGCCCGCATGGCCCGCATAGACGCCGCGCTCAAGGACCACCCCCTGCGCACCCCCTATGGTGTCGAGAAAGCGCCACGCCTGCTATATCCTGCGCCATGGCCCGCATAGACGCGTTCAAGGACCATCCCCTGCGCACCCTCTATGGTGTCGAGAAAGTGCCACGCCTGCTATGCCCTTCGCCGTGGCCCGCATAAACGCCGCGCTCAAGGACCACCCCCTGCGCACCCGCTCTGGTGTCGAGAAAGTGCCACGCCTGTTATTCCCTGCGCCATGGCCCGCGTAGACGCCGCGCTCGGGGACCACCCCCTGCGCACCCCCTTATGGTGTCGAGAAAAAGCCAAGCCTGTCGTGGACTGCGAATGCTACACGCACGCGTTGCATATGGCATGTCATGTGTATGTGGATGATGCGTGTGCGGCTGTATCGGGACGTGTGCCTCACGTGTGTGCCCAGTATGTAGCGCATATGTTTGCGGCCGTATCGGGACGTGTGCCTCATGTGTGTGCCCAGTCTGTACGCATACGTCGTGTGTGTGTGTGTGTGTTGTGTGTGTCTGTGTGTGCGTGAGGAGAGGGAGAAGGAGAGGGAGGCGGGTGTGCGAACGCGGGTGCGACGCGGGTGGGAAGAAAACCCGAACCCCACTAAGCATGTGGGGAAATAGCATGGGGACGATGTTTTAAAAGTTGTTGTTCCACTATATTTCGGTATAGTGCTGAGTCTTCTGAATGTTTCGCCCGAAATCCGCCTGCAGGGGGACAGGCCCGACCTAAGCGTGCTTTTTTCGAGCCCCTCCCGCAGCAGGTACGAGCTGGAGAGGGCACAGGGCCAGGAGCCGAGGGGGCACGGGCAGAAGCCTTCGCAGAGGCCCTCGGGAACGAACCCCGGAGGCCCAGAGGTTGGCACCCCACACCTCTGGAGTTGAGTCGGGCATATCCCTCTTCCGGTGGAAAATGTAAAGATTGACACCAAAACTGTCAGTGGACGATTTTGTTTGACCATGTTTGAGAAAAATAATAGTTTGACGTTTGACTATTTGCTCTGTTTCTCCCAAAGTCCGCCCATGCCCGACCTAAGTCTAAGGTGGCCCAGCACCAGTGCCGGCCAGCAGGAATGGCGGGCGGCCTCGAGGCGCTGGGTGCGAGACGATCTTGTAGCCCCGTTCGGCCTCCGGGGGGCCGCTTTCCGGCGCTGGGACCGTCCAAAACGGATCCGGGGTGAAAAGCTACACCAAGTGGATTTTGGATCAAGTCGGGCCTGTCCTTCTACAGGGGGAATATTCAAAAATAGACCGAACATAGTCTGGGAACTATTTTTTTTAGTGGGCATTTTTTGAATTTTTGTTTGGTATTTTTAATGTTTCGTCCGAAATCCCCCTGTAGGGGGACACGCCCGACTGAAACTGTGGGAGGGGTCCCGGGACCGATTTGGACCGGATTTGGCCCCCCCCGTCCTCACGGGTTTTTTGGGGTCCCAGCCAGTTCGGATCCCTTGGCCGCCTCCAACCAGCATCGTCGGTTGCCTCCACGGGGGGAAGATGATACTGACTGGCCTCGACGAAATAGACCGATGCTTGGGCTTCTCAGGTGGCTGAGAGGTCACCGCCGAGAGATTACCATCAGCACCAACACGCAGGAGCATCTTTCCCCGGTGGAGGGGGCCCCCTAGGGCTGGTGCTGCTGCCAATCTCCAGGCTCCCTAGGAAAATTCTGCTGAACCGTAAATGTAGGAGGACCGCGGATGAGGCGGAGGCGGAGGAGGAGGAGGCGGAGGAGGAGGAGGAGGAGGCGGCGGAGGCGGAGGAGGAGGAGGGCGGCGAGGAAGGCAGGGAGGGACGAAGGGGGGGGCGGGCCGCGCACGGCGGGGCCGCCACCCCTTCGGAGCGTGAAGAGCACCCTGCGGATGGCGCCCGAGGCATGCTCTCGGGTCCCTGCAGCGGTCGGTGCGACTGCAGACCCTGAGATTCGACGTTCAGCCACGCGCAGAGGGGCGCGGGGGGAGGGCGCTCTGGGTTTTTATGTCTTTGGGGAGGGGTTCTATAGGTTTTCGCGGTTTTCTCGGGGGGGAGGGGTTCTCTACAGGTTCTCGGGCGTCTGCGCCGCTTCCCGACGGCTTCCCGCCCCCGGGGGCGCCCTCCGGCTGCATGCGCCTCGCCGAGGGCGTGCCGGGGGTGCCCGGCGGTCGTGCCGCACGGCCGGCGGGGGCTCGCGAGCCTCCTGGCCGGAGGCCACCGGGGGCGGGGGTGAGTATAGGCTTAGGTTCTGGTATGGCCAGGACCCGGGGTACCCTGACCTTCCAGAGAGCTATGTTTTAGCACGGGAGGCCAAAAAAACATAAAAAACTAAACGAAACAGCCTGAAGCCAAGACATAGAATAGCTCTGGGATAGGTGTTTAAGTCGCGTGCTATTTTTTTAGCCCTCCTGGAAGGTCAGGGTAAGGGGACCCGGTTAGTGGTAGGGCCCCGGGGCCCCTGAATCGGCCAGAACCACTCAACCAGGCCTGCCGCAGCTGGTGTTTCCTCGGGGGATGGCAGTTCTGGTCAGTGGAAATGGGACGGGGGGGCGCCCCCGGTACAAATCACTAAACCAGGTTTCACTAAACCCAGTTCTGCCAACGCCCGATTAGGGGGGAACGCATCGACTCCCGATCGCCCACGGATCGCCGATGGGGGCCCGAGGGCCCTCCCCGTCCAGGGGGTCGTGCGGTTTCGGCATCGGTTGCCTCTCTCGCCGATCTCTCGGCGACGTGTCGCCAATGTGTTCCAGTTCGACGTTGTCCCCTGCCGTGGTAAGGATAGCTCCATGGAGCGTTCCGGAACGCTCCCAGCGCGTTCTGGAGCGCTCTGGAAAGGATGCGTCGCCCGATCCAGCCACGCGCAGAGGGGGGGGAGGGGGGAGGGCTTCTCAGAAGCACCCTTGCTTCTTAGAAGGCGCGGGCCTTATCTGTAGATGCAGGGCCGCCGTCTTATAAGAAGCAGCCTCCTTCTAAGAAGCCCTCCCCCCTCCCTCCGCGACCTTGTGCGCGCCACCAAGACGTGGCGAAAAAGTGGCAACAGCACGGAGAGCAGAGAGCACGACCAGAGCCCCAGACCTTGTCTTTCTGCACCATGCTTGTTCGAATTGGATCGACCTGTGAGGACCCCAGGGCCCGAAGCCGGGCGAGAACGCCCCGCTCGGAAACGTGGAGCCGCCAAGATATTGCGTAGGGGAGGCGTTGAGCATCCAGCAGTTCGCGCCAGCACGCGTTCTGACGAGCATCGATCCTGGGTCGGCGCCTGACCCCCTTCGGTGTCTATTTCGACTTCGAGCCGATCGATTCGCTTCGATGTCGAGTTCGGCCGGCTCGATCCGATTCGATCCCGATGTCCTGTCGGTCCGAGGCGTCCCGAGGTTCGCACGGCGTTGTGGTGCAGCCCGGCGCGCCCGATCCGCTTCGAGGTCGGCTGCGTGCCGGTGCACTCCGATCCGACGCACCTTCCGATTCGATTTTGGAGCGCATCGGCACGGTGAAGGGAGATCTCGAGGCGGGCGCGGCACGACGAAGGGGGAGCTCGACGAAGGGGCACTGCCGCGGTCGATGAAGGCGCCTGAAATCTGGCCTGACTTAGTTTACAAGTTATCAGTGGGTTGCACATGCCCCAGGTGGCCTAGGGGTTTGACGATCAGGTCTAAGTGTGCGTTGCCCATTGAGTGGATGATCTACTTCCCCTCCCCGAAGCCACGTGAGGCACTCGTAACCCATGTATATGATGCCAGATATATAACCCACCTTGGCATCCACTGATAGTCCTCCTGTCCCCTTGGCAACACCCGCGCCGATCCCAGCAGAGGTCACGACCCCTTCCACGGGGCCAGTTCTTCGCCCCGGATGCGTTTTTTCGATGGCCAGGCGGGGCAATCGAAAGGGGCCCCGCGTGGCCGACATCGAGGAGCGCCCGGACGGAAATGAACAGGCGTCGGAGGTTTGGACCGGTGGCTTTGGGGCCATAGCTCGGGCCTCCAGTGGCCGTTCGGGACGATCCAAGCACTTCTGGAGCGCTCTAGGCAGCTGCTGGAACGCATCCCGAGACCCCAGGCTCGAAAACCAACGAGAACCAACGAAAACATTCGAGAGCCTTAAGGAGGACCCGCCAGGAGGTCAGAAATCGACCCCCAGACCTCCACGGCGCTTCTTGGAGGCCCAAAAATGCTAACAAGCATCAAAGCTCGATCCTCTACAGTGGAAGCCCATGTCGGGCCTCTACTGTACCCTCCTGAACAGCCCCCCCCCCCTTCCCGAGGAGGACCTCCTGGCGCCCCTCGCGCCCCTGGCGGCGATGGTGGCCAGGGTCACCGATACGGGGGGGGGATAGGCACAGGGAGGAGGAGGAGGAGGAGGAGGAGGAGGAGGAGGAGGAGGAGGAGGAGCAGGAGGAGGAGGAGAGAGAAGGGAGGAGCAGGAGGAGGAGCAGGAGGAGGAAGGAGGAGGGGGAGGAGGAGAGGGAGGAGGAGGAGGAGGAGGAGGAGGAGGAGGAGGAGTAGCAGGGAGGAGGAGAAGGAGGAGGAGGGAGCAGGGAGGAGGGAAGAGGAAGAGAGGAGGGAGGAGGAGGAGGAGGAGGAGGAGGAGTGAGGAGGAGGAGGAGGGAGGAGGAGGAGGAGGAGGAGGAGGAGGAGGGAGGCGGAGGGAGGAGGAGGAGGAGGAGGAGGAGGAGGAGGAGGAGGTGGAGGGAGAAGGGAGAAGGGAGGAAGGGGGGGGATAAGCACAGGGGGGAGGCATCGGCCACAAAGGGCCCACGGCGGATCGCCGATGAAGGGGCCGATGGCCCTGGTCTGCCCAGGGAGCGTGCGGATCTGTGCGATCGGCCGTTTGCCGCCGATCTACCGGCGATGTATCGCCGATTCCCAGATCTCTATTCCCCCCCCTGTGCCAGTCCCCCCATCTTGTCTCCGCGGCGAGCGAGGGAGGGAAACAAAAAGGAGAAGGCCTTCTCAGGAGGCGGCGGGACTTCTCAGAAGCCCTCGCGCCTCCTGAGAAGTGTTGTCCTGTCTCCGGGGAAGGACTTTTGAAAACTTATCAGAAGGTCGGGGAACTTCCGAACCTTCTGAGAATCACCGAGCGCGTTCCACTACTCGCAAAGTGCCTACTCGCAAACGTCCGAAAAGCACATGTCTGCTTCGATCTAATCCATCCTGGACCCCCCGCGGGGGGTCCAGGCCATTTGCGAGTAGTTAGCTACTTTTTGCGAAAGCAGTGGGACCGCGCTCGTCTGGAGAAGGCCTCCTCCTTCTCGCTTTTTCCCCCCCCCTCGAGGAGGAGGAGGAGGAGGAGGAGGAGGAGGAGGAGGAGGAGGAGAGGGAGGAGGGAGGAGGGAGGAGGGAGGAGGGAGGAGGGAGGAGGAGGAGGAGGGAGGAGGGAGGGGAGGAGGGAGGAGGAGAGGGAGGAGGGAGGAGGGAGGAGGGAGGAGGGAGAGGTCGCCACCGACGATCGCTGCCCCGCAGGTGGCCGAGCCCTGGTGGGACGTCGCCGTCCCGCCGCAGCCCCCGAGCCGGCCGTCGCCCGGCGCGCTGCGGGCCTACCGCGGGCGGCTGCGGTCGACGGCGGCGCGCGCGCCGGCGGCGACGATCGACGCCGTCGGCGGCGGCGTCGGCGTCGGCGTCGACGTCGGCGTCGACGTCGCGGTCGTCGTCGAGGAAGCTTCGGAGTCTGCCCCCAGTCGCCCACGCGTCGCCATGGGGCGAGGCGGGTCCTCGGGCTCGTCTCCGCGCCTGGCCTCCCGGGGGCCTCCACGGGCCTCTGGGCCGCCCGGAGACGGCTCGGGGCGGAGAGCTCGTCCTGGGGTGAGGCCCCATTTGGGCCCAGGGCCCGTTTCCCTCAGGATCCGCTTCCCCCCGTGCGAGCCAACCAATCGTCCATTCTTCGCCGACTCGGCCCCGGTGGTGTTGATATTCCTGGGGCGGCCTCGTGGCCTCGGCTGGATCCGCCTCGAGACCCTGGGCAGAGTTCACCCCAGAAGAGGTCCAGGGATGGATGTTTGACCCCTGATCAGGGGCACCGCTCAAGGGGTTCGAGGTTCGAAGTTCTTGAGCGTTCTCGGCGCTTCCTGGTGGTTCTCGCCCAGCCTCGGGATGCACTCCAGCTGCGCCTCGCCGAGGGCGTCCCGAACGGCCGCTGGAGGCCTGAGCTGTGACCCGAAAGCAAAAAAGGGCCGACACCAAGTCAGTCGCGTCGTCGGCCAGCCCACAGAGCAGATGGAGGGCGAGGAGAAGGAGGAGGAGCTCGGCAACGGCTAGAAAGTTGCCACCACATTAAACATGCATCAAGCAAACTCCAAACGAGTTAGGGGCGGTCAAAATCCTCCCTGGGCGGCACAACCTGCCGGCGGCGCTCTTGCGCTCGAAGCCCGAGCGACTCCGCCTCTTCCCGAGAGCGGAAACCAAAAAGTGACAGGCCTCGCAGAAGGTCGACCCCAGTCCCCGCCCAAGCACACCCACCCCCGCCCGACATGGACGCAAGAGAGCCTCTGGACAGAGGCGGCGCTAGCTGCGGGAGGTCGTCCAGACCCATCTTGGCTGCCAAGTAGTCTCGAGAGGGATCCGATAACACGGCCGCTCGCGAGACCCGAAACCCTTGCTTCGAAGGATGGCGGCCGCGCAATATCCAATCCAACTGCCTCTCACGACCCGAGGAACGGTGGCCCAGACAATCTGACGCTAGAGCCATTTTTCCCCCGTGCCCTCCTACGGCACAAACCGAGCCGCAGCGAGTACAGAAGGCCAGGGAGCCGGCCGCAGCCCCCGCGGGGTCCGTGACCCCACACTCGATGATGTGGTGGGCGCGGGCTGGCCAGACATGGAGGTCGGGCCATTCGGCCCTGCCCCCCTTACCTTCCTCGCCCACCCTCCCCGACTCCCGACCCGTCCCGCCACTCCCAGGAGGAGGAGGAGGCTCAGGAGGAGGAGGAGGAGGAGGTGGAGGAACCTCGTCGGGGAGAGGAGGGACCTCAAGGGTGATGTGCCTAAGCCAATCGATGCCGACATGGTCGAACTGCTGACTGTCTCCAATCCGAGCCTCTTGCTCAGCCGAGAATTTACAAAGATGACGGGCCAACTCGAAGCAACCATCGACGACGGCACGATCGGCGGCAGCGATTCTACCCAAAGAGGCACCCTTCTTCGCATATTCGTCCGCAGCCTTGTTGCCGAGATACTCAAGTCGACTGAGCTTCCCATTCTCGACATCACGAAGGGTGCTATGGGCTGGCACTTTATGCCACCGCACACCGTCAAGCTTATCATACACATGCTGCCACATATGCGATCGAGCATTATCGGGACACACAGCTCCCACTGGGTCCGAAACATACCCAAGGGTCCCCGCACAGTCCCCATACAAGCTGGCCCCGGGGAAAACTGTAGCATGGCGGACAAGGGAGACCACAGCGTAGTCCTCACCGTCGCGAGCGACCTGGGCTGGAGCAACGCTTAAGGGCACACGCCCCCATATCGCACGGGCAACTTTCCCCCACCCGTCCGTCACAATCACCGCCCATCCCGCCGATCGAATCCTAGGGAGAGCAGGCTCGTAGCACGAGCCGTCTATGAACACATGCGCCCCCTCTCCAAGCACCAGACCTTCGGCGGGCCAATTGTGCCTGTAGACCGTGGCCTCGGGGTGCTCAGAGGGGCGAGTGAACCAACAAGTGGGGTCAGGGAGCACGCACCTGGCAAACAGCTCTTGGGCTCTGGGTGAGAGGAGGCGCACGCGATCCGCCGCCCGACGCAAGTCCGGGCTCAACACATCGCGCCGCCACGCCTCGTGGGCAGGGCAATCGAAGCGACGATGAAACATGGTGCCCGAGGGAGCCTGGCAGACCAAACAAGCAGGAGAGATGTCCTGACAGGCGTCGTGACATCGCTGCTGGCACCAATACCTATTGGCAATCAGGCTGCGCAAGCAGTGACGACAATGATCAAACCAGACTGAGCTTTGCTTCGAAATCAAATCGAGAGCCGGCTTGAGACAGATGGGGCCGCGCCACTCGGCGCCAAAATCACTCTGCCGAACCTGCTCTTCCATCACAATAGCTTCCTCGCACGCTTCGCGCACGCGAAGGGCGAAGAAGGCTGGGGAAAACTCAGACAAACTCCAGGAGCGACCCGCCTGGTCAACCAAAAGCTCATTTGGGACATCCAACCTCCAACGGATCCGAGCGAGCATCAGAACAAGGGCAGCCAGAGGCTGCTTGGCGGAGCCCCAGGGCCTGGGTTTGCTCGCAGACAGGAGCGCGTCTTCAAACGCCGAGAGGAGCACCTGCTTCGTGACGCTGCGGTGCCACCAAACTGACACAAACGCATTGACGGCGTCCACCGTCGTTGAAACGAGAGGGTCACGCTGGGGGGCCCCATAAAGGAGGAAGGTGAGGCCAAGGGAGGAGCCAGGCTGAAGGGGGCCGAAGGACCTGGCAGCGGCCACCCTCAGAGTCCGCAGAGCCGAATTCCCAAGACCACTAATGTGTGCACCCCACGTGACCTTAGCGACTGGACCCGCCCTGCGGACCCGAGAAGCCTCCCAACCCCGCCCGATTTTGGTGAGCCGAGTCGCTGCAGCCGACGCGGCAGACAGGCGAGCGCGCTGCGTTGGCACCCGACGGCCCTTGCCGTCGGAGGCGTCCCCACCGAGATCACGGTGGGTGGAAGCGAAAAAAGACACAGAGAAGGAGGAGGAGGGGGAGGAGGAGCAGGAGGAGGAGGAGGAGGAGCAGGAGGGGGGGGGAGGGGGAGGATGAGGAGGAGGAGGAGAGAGGAGGAGAGAGAGGAGGAGGAGGAAGGAGGAGGAGGAGGAGGAGAGGAGGGGAGGAGAGAGGGGAGAGGAGGAGGAGGCAGGAGGAGGAGGGAGGAGGAGGAGGAGGAGGAGGAGGAGGCGGAGGAGGAGGAGGCGGAGGAGGAGGAGGAGGAGGAGGCGGAGGAGGCGGAGGAGGAGGAGGAGGAGGAGGAGGAGGAGGAGGAGGAGGAGGAGGGGGAGGGGCAGCGGTCGGGACCTCACGGGGCCGCGGGTTGGACAGAAGAGATCGGCGGATGTGAGGGTCCCATGAGACTCATCATCCTACAACCGAAGAAGGAAGCAACAACACATAAACATAAACGTGTGGCGCTCCGCGCGGATTTCTTGGATCCGCGCTGGATCCGCGATGGGGATCCGGCGCGGATCCGAGAAATCCGTGGTTTATGTTTATGTTAATGGTTTATGTTTATGGTGTTTTTGCTTTCGTCTTCCATGAACAGAAGAGATCGGCGGATGTGCGGGTCCCCTGAAATTCAGCATCATATAACCGATCCCTATCCCCATCCCCATCCCCATCCTGACCCTCATCATCCCAACACCCCAGTGGGGAACATACCCCTCGATATCCGAAGGGAGCAGCCTACAACCAATCCCATCCAGGGTGGGGCTTGGACCGGCCGGTGGGGCCCCGGCCGCACCAGCGGGGATGGGGATCGGTTACAGTGGAGACCCATGCCAAGAAACACCCTGCTTGCCTCCAGGGTGCCCTGGGTTTCTTGGGTTTCGATGGTTTTGCTATGGGAAGCGTGACGTTCCCACACCAAAAATCCATGGACGTCATGGAGTCTCAGGGTTGGGTCTATTGTGGAAGGTTTCTTGTGAACTGGCCTCCGCTGCAAGTGATCCTCGGCCTCCTAGATGGGGTCGGAGGATCGCGCCGCACCGCGGACGCATCGGCGATGCGGCTCGATGCGGAGCCCGCTCTCTCCACGCCGACGACGCGGATGCATCGCCGACGTCGCCGATGCATCGCAGATGTTGTAGCGCCGATGCGGCGCGATTCTCCGACCCCATCCACAACGACCCCATTCGGGAGGCCTCTACAGTCGGGGCCCTGAAGAAGGAACCCTTTTCGTTGGGGCGGGGCTCCGCGTGCCTCGATTGTCTCACAGCTTGCCTCAGGCTTCCCTTATGTCTTCGATGGGAAATCGAAGGTTAACGTGTGGAAAAAAAGGGGCCTCGTTCCTTATTTAGGATTCCTTAGGTCAACGCCCCGACTGTAGTGATGCTCACCGAGATCCTGGCGCCGCGAAGTCGTCTGCCCCCCCGGGGCGGTCCGGCCGTGCTCCGCGCGCCGTGGGGAGCCCTTCGCGGATCGGCCTGGGAAGGGCAGCGGCAGGCAGAGGGGGTCGAGGGCTGCGGGAGATCATCATCCTCCCTCTCGTCCCATCCTCCTCCTCGTCCCTCCTCCCCCTCCTCCTCCTCCTCCTCCTCCTCCTCCTCCTGCCTCCTTCCTCCTCCTCCTCCTCCTCCTCCTCCCTCCCTCCTCCACTCTCCTCCTGCCTCGTCCTCCTCCGCTGGCCTCCTCCCCTCCTTTCCTCCTCCTCCTCCTCCTCCTCCTGCCTCCTCCTCCTTCCTCCCTCCTCCTCTCCCCTCCTCCTACTCCTCCTCCTCCTCCTCCTCCTCCTCCTCCTCCTCCTCCTCCTCCTCCTCGTACTCTGCACGCCACCACCCACAGAGCTCGGCGGCAAGCGATGGGGGAAGTGAGAGGGAGAAGGCCTTCTCAGATGGCGGCGGGACCTCTCGGGAGCCCTCGCGCCTCCTGAGGAGTTTTCGGTGTCTTCGGGGAGGGCTCAAAAACTCCTCAGGAGGCCGGGAGACGTCCGAGCCTTCTGAGAAGGCCCGCCCCTTCTCACTTCTCCCCCGCCCTCGCCGCCCACAAACCAGCCCAACCCAATTCGAAGGCCTTCATTTGCCCTCCATTCCCAGTGGGGGAGGGGTCGGAAACATCGAAAAAACACAGGTGGAACCCCTACCCCCCCCAAGCCGAAATGTGGGTCTTCGGGTTGGGTTGGGGTGGTCTGGTGGGTCGTCAGCACGACGCTGCAGGTGTTTCGCGACGTCGGACCTCAGGGTCGTCGCTTCGGAGATTTTTGAGCGATCCTGGAGGTTCCGGACGGGGCTAGGACGAGGATAAATCCGTTCCAGAGCGTTGCGGAACGCTGAGAAGGACGCGGCGCCCGAGACATCCTCCAGAAACGCCGGATCTCAGAGATACTCGGTTCATCCTCACCCGATTGTACCCTCGTCTTGGCTTCGTCTGAAGGTTCGTCTGGGCGCAGCTCGGATGAGTTTTACCGAAACTCCGTGTTGCTGGCCTTGCCGCCTTATCCCGAGCCGGTTGCCAAGTCTGTCCCAGTCATGGGTTGGGCGGATTGGCGAGGCCAGTGTGGGCGTCAGGTGTGCACTGATGGGTCAGGCCGAGCCAACTCGCTCCCGGGGCTCACCAGATGCGGATGGTCAGTAGTGGAGATCGACCCGTCCTTTCTCTCTCAGGCCACGGTTCTCTGCACGAGTCTGCTTATTGCATGTCGGCTTGTGTGGCGTTCCAGGTTTGCCTGGTGTTGTTTTGATTCGCACTGTGGTCGATGCCGCTTTGCGGTGATCAGTGGTCGCGCCCCTTCCTCCTACTCCTATTGTTGTTTTTTTCGTTTGTATGTATATATCAACAAAACACACAAAAACTGCTTGTTCTTAACAAAACAAACAAAAACTGCTTGTTCTTGATTAAAGAGAGCTCGACCCGTCTGGCTGCGTGATCTGAGCCCAATATGGGCCGCTGCCCGGGCGGGTCCCGACCGCGCCAAGGGCGGAGTAGTTCGCGGCCTGCAAAGCTCTGGTGGTTGCCGCCCGTCCTGCCTGGGTGATGTCTGATCAGGTGAGTTTGGCCCAGGCGGGCCACAGCTAGTTCCCTTTCACGCCTCCCACCATGCTGGCCTCTGGAGGCAGATGCGAAGTCGTTACGACGGCGAGCTCCGACGGGCCACAGCTAGCTCCCTTTCACGCCTCCAACCATGCTGGCCTCTGGAGGCAGATGCGAAGTCGTCACGACAGCGAGCCCAGTCCAGAATCTCGACGGGTCAAGGCGCATCGGTCAGCGGGCAGGGTCCTTGAAGAGGACGCGTGTGATTGTTTGATGTCTTTGGATACGAGTGGGTGGATTATTTTGCGAAGATCGGGACCCAGAGTCACGCAATTACAAGTTTGCTGGAAGACGCCCACAAGGCCGAAGTGGCGACTGCGAAGAGCGAGAGGTGCTCGCCTGGATGGTTCAGGCCGTGGCGCGTCAGGCTGGGCTGTGAACTGCTGCAGCCGAAGTCCGAAACCCCTCGGACTGCCAAGTCCACCCCCAGCCCACACCTTCCTCTGACCTCCAACTTCTTCCTCCATTGTACGCGCCTCGGCGAGTACCGATGCGATCGGTGTACAGTCGGGATCCTGAAGAAGGAACCCTTTTCGTTGGGGAGGGGCCCCGCGTCCCTTAAGTGTTTCGCAGCTCGCCTCAGGTTGTCCTTATGATTTCGATCGGAAATCAAGCTTAACATATGGGAAAAAGGGGCCTCGTTCCTTATTTAGGGTTCCTTAGGTCAACGCCCCGACTGTACGCGCCTCGGCGAGTACCGATGCGATCGGGGTAGGCGACT